CCAACATGTGCTGACGGAGCTTCTGTAAATATGGATTGGGGCCTTAGGGACTGTATTAATCCGTTTCCATTGCTTATAACAAAATACTTGGAACTGGGTAATTTATAAAGAAAATGAAATTTATTGCTTACAGTTTCTGAGGCGGAGAAGTCCAAAGTCCATCTGGTGGTGGTGACAGTGACTCAGAGGTCTCACATTGCAAGACGGTGGAAGCAGAGAGAGCAGAGAGAGAGAAAGACAGACTCTCCTCTTCTTTTAAAGCCCTCAGAACTGCACCCCTAACCCCCATTTTTGATCCATTCACTACAGCATGGTCCTACAATACAATCACCTCTTCAAGGCTCCACCTTTCAATTACCATAATAGGATTTCCCACTCTCTTAACAGAGTGGGGGCTAAGTTTCTAATACATAAAACTTGGGGGACACAATTCAAGCTTCACTGAGTTTTGGGGGGACATAATTCAATCCACTACATTCTGCCCCTGGTCCCCCAAAACTCATGTCTTTTTCACATGCAAATACATTCATTTTATCCGCAAAATTTTAACTTGTTTCAGCTCAAAAGTCCAAAGTTCATAGTCCCATCTGTGAAATCAATACAAGTTATCTACTTCCAAGATACAATGATGAGACAAACATAGGGTATATATTCCCATTCCAAAAGGGAGAAATAGGCCAAAAGAAAGGAGATAGGTTCCAAACAAGTCCAAAACCCAGCAAGGCAGGCATTAAATCTCAAAGCTGGTGAATCAAGTAACTTGACTCCATGTTCAACATCCTCTGCACACTGGTGTGGGGGTTGGGTCCCCCCATCCTCAGGCAGCTCTGCTTCTATGGCATTCCTGGTCTCAGGTGATGCTTTAGTTCTCCCAGGCTGGTGTTCCACTCTGGTAGCTCCACAGGTCTGTGGTTTCCATGGTGGTCCCACTCTCACAGCTCCACTAGACATGGCACTGATGGGGTTTCCCTGCTGCAACTCTGACCCCACATTTCCACTCGGCATTGCTCTAGTGAAGGCTGTCTGCAGTGACTCTGCTCCTGAGACAAATCTCTTCCTGGGCCCCCAGACTTTTCCATACATCCTTTGAAATCTGGGTGGAGGATCCCAAGCCCTCACAGTTCTGCATTCTGCAGGCCTGCAGACCTAACACCACGTGGACACTGCCAAGACTTCCGGCTTGTATCTTCCAAAGTTGTATGTCCAGCCACACCTGGGGCCAAGTTAGCCATGGCTGGAGCAGCCAAAACAGCTGGGGTGTTGGAAGCAGTTTCTTGAGGTGGTTCTGGGCAGTGAGCTGGTGGAGAGCTCCTTAAGCCTGTTCCCCAAGACCATTCTGTCTCCTTAGGTCTTTGGGCCAGAAGTTGAAGAGCTGGCCCCAGAGACTTCTGCAATGCCTTCAAGGGCCTTTTTTTCCTTCTCTTGATAATCCCTTTCCTTTGTACTAATCTTCTTGGTTGCTGGGCTCCACCATTGCATGTTCTCTGCTTCTCTATCACATGGCCATGGTGCAAATTTTCTAAATTTTTACACTCTGCTTCCCCTTTAAATTCTGGCTTTATGTTATGCCTTTGCCACAGTAACTCAGTGTAGGCTGTTACAAGTAGCCATGCAGCTTCCTTAATGCTTTGCTGCTTGGAAATTTCTTCTGCCAAGTACTCTGGTTCACAACTCTTAAGTACCATCTTCCACAAAGTCCTAGGGCATGGACACAATGCAGCCAGGTTCCTTTCCAGTTCACAGCAAGAGTGATCTTTGCCCCAGTTTCTGATAAACTGCTTCTTATTTCTAGCTGAGATCTCCTTAGAATGGTCTTTATAGTCCACATTTCTATCAGCATTCTGCTCGCCACCATGTAACCAGTCTCTAAGACATTCCAAACTCTCCCTCATCTTTTTATCTTCTTCTGAGTCCTTCAAACTCCTCCAACCTTTGCCTAACACCCAGTTCCATGTATTTTGTTATAAGCAACAAGAACAGACTAATACAGGAACCAACCAAGAAATTTTCTGGGACACAGTCAATGATATCTTCCAATACATCTTGGATTACTGGAGAATGAAAAATGCAGAATACACAGATTTCTAAGAACCTAATGGTACCAATTTTGGACTTGTTAGGGTTAAGAGATCTGTGATTTATCTTATGAATAATCTTTGCACAGAGAGCAAGTTCCCAAGACAGCCAAAAGTCCCATTAGTGTGCTCTTGAAGCCAAGAGCATTTTTTTCCAAACTTCTCCTTCATTGCTCTCAACCCACTGCTCCCACCTCTTGAGTGTTCTTCTCCTCTCTCGGTGGAAGAGATTACCATCTACTGCCAAATAATTGCAGCTCTTTCTATGTCTCCCCTATCAGCAATCTTAGCCCCACCTGCCAATCCCAAAGTTTCCTGAACTCCTCTTCCCAGGAACAGGTACATTTTGACCCAACAGTTCTAGCAAACTCCTACTCACACACTAAATTTCAGCTGAAACATTTGAAGTACTGGCTAAGAGTAAGTATGCTAGAGCAAGTGTTTGAGTTAGTATCCTAACTCTGCTATTTACTAGCTGTGTGACCATGAGCAAGTTACTTAATCGTTCTGTGCCTTAGTTTCTTTGTCTGTAAAACCTACTCAAATGACTGTTGTAAGGTTATAACTTATAGCTGTGCCTGCACATAGGAAGCTCCATGGGACTATTAACCATTACTGTGATACAGAAAAGATTTCTAACTCCCCCAGGAAGAGTGAAAGGCTTCTTTCTCTGTGTTGCCATCATATCTGGTACTGACCTGAGTCAATGAAATTACCTTAATTTCCCTCCAAAAATTGTTTACATCAGTGTGTCCAATAGGCTGTGAGCACCTCAAGGGTAGCAGTCTTCTTATTGCCATTGTAGCCTCACCACATGGCACAGGGCCAAGCACAAAAGAGATTCAATCAATTCTGCTGTGACACTGGCTTTGAAATGCAAATTTGTTCAAACACAATTGATATATTAGGGAACTCAGCATAATGTGAATTTCATGTTTAGTTATGTGTGATTCCCTTTTCAAGAAATGAGGTGAGCACAGAAAACTTCACCCATTTAAACAGAGCTGAGTAGGAAAGCCCAACATGCACATAAGCACACACCTCAAACATCTATCAGCTACCTTAGTTCACCACTTGTTATGAATCACACCCACCCACATCTGGTGTTACAACTTTCTGCCCAATTTCAGATAAGACTCCTTCACTACTTCACAATAATTCACAGGCTGTTTCCAATATGCACTTCCATAAGGGAAATGCCAGGTCTTTTTCAAGTTAAAGTGTCATAATTAGAGTATTTATATATTTTGTAACTATTTAACATGTGTAAAATGGTGCTACCATTTTTATTAGGTTCCTATGTTCTTTTAAATGTATCACTGATGAAGTTTTTGAGTGTTGTGCCCCATCCCCACTTTTCCAATAAGCTCTGTGGTTTCTATTGCATGATTTTGTGTAGTGTGGTGATTTTAAAGCTATGTCTCCTCACAGAAGAAAGAAGTGTACTTGGTAGACCTATAGTTGATGGTAAATAACTCCTTCTCTTCTCCATGAACACAATGCCAGGCATTGTGATAAGCAGTGGAGGCACTGTGGTTAATAAGAAGCAACGCCTGCATCTCTTTCAGTCTAGTGGGGGAAAGACAAGTAATTACAATATAGTGGGATAGATGCTATTAAAAAATAAAGCAAGGTCTTCTCTTCCAGACTTCAGGGAGTCAGCAAGGAACTCCCAGAGGAAGTATTCTGCTTTCCCAGATCTTTTTGCTCCATAGTTCCTTTCTTTGCCTACCCCCATCTCTGTCTCCTATTCTTCTTCCTGAGTTGCCAGGCCCAGTAACACTGAGGAAAGAGGCAGAGCAGGGAAGAGTTAATGTGGCACAGGTGGGAGGAGTAAGGGCCCTGAGGGAAGCAGGTAGAACAGCCACATAAAGGGTCCCACAGGCACTCATCAAGGTGAACAAAAGCCCCCAACACATAGTGCTCAGGATCTTTCCCCCATCAAGCCTTCAGCTGGTGATTTCTCCCTCATTCCTTTATCCATGCAACATTTATTAAGCTTCTTCTACGGGATAGATTCAGGGAGGAGTCAGTCTACTCGCCCTGCCTCCTCCAATATCACAGATGCTTCTTCCTTGTATGGCTGCTACTCTAGATTGAATGCCATTTTCTCCACCTCCATCACCTCCATTCCCTCTGGCACCCCAGGAATGATACTCTAGTGGGATTCCCTTCTGGATCGTGAAGGAGACAGAGAAGTTCCTTTTCCTGCTATCGTCTCTCTCCGTTGCTCTCCAACTCCAACTTCAGCTCTCCAGCTGGTGCTCAAGTTCACTACTTCAGCATCAAGTTCAGAATAACGTAAGCACCCCTTACTCCCAAAACCCACCAAATTTTCTCCTGCCACACCAGGCTCCCAGCTTCACTCCACATTTGACTCCTACTACTGTTTCTCCCTTTCTTTCTACTCTGCTTCCCTTTCTTCTTGGAATGTTCATGACCAGAATGTTAGAGCTGGAAACACTTAAGATCATTGTGTCCACCTCCACTGTAGAGCTGAAGAAGCTGAGGCTCAGAGGTTCTTCCTGAGGATACATAGTCAGGCACAGAATTGCCTAAGACCAGATCCCCACCCAGCACTGGCTTTATCCCCATATACACAGACTGAGACTGACACTACTTGGACCCAGAGGAAGAAAAGCATTCATCTCAACTCTACCCTCAGCTGACCTCCAATTGGAGGGCTCTGGCTGTACCAGCCACCGCAGCAGTAACCTCCTTCCTCACTACCACTGTTCCCCCATTTCTCCTCCTACAAGACTCACACGTTTTTAGAAGCAAAGGATTCTCCCATCTTAGCTAGGGCTGTGACCTTAATTATCCATCCAAAACCCCCAACCAAAGTTTATAACCCTGTGATCCTTCCAGCCCTGCACTACCCCTATACATACCCAATGGATGAATTTGTGCCACTGTGATACCCCCAAAATATCTCCCTTTGTTCTTTCCCTGTCAGGTGTCATGCCCCCATGAGCTCTAAAGCTTTGCCTCCCACAGAATGGCAGAAACTCCACAGCCCAACTCTACCTTCCTCTGCCCAACCTTCTTCATACTGACTGGCATTCCAGGGCTAGGGGGTGTCCAGGCCTGGCTGACACTGGTCTTTGGGCCCATGTATGTGTTGGCCTTGCTGGGCAATGGAGCATTGCTGGCAGTGGTGTGGATAGACTCCACACTACAACAACCCATGTTCCTACTCCTGGCCACACTGGCAGCCACAGACCTGAGCTTAGCCACATCTATAGCCCCAGGGTTGCTGGCCGTGCTGTGGCTTGGGCCCCGACCTGTGCCATATGCTGCCTGCCTGGTCCAGATGTTCTTTGTGCATGCACTGACTGCCGTGGAATCTGGTGTGCTTTTGGCCATGGCCTGTGATCGTGCTGTGGCAGTAGGACGCCCACTGCACTACCCGATCCTAGTCACCAAAACCCGTGTGGGCTATGCAGCACTAGCACTGGCACTCAAAGCTGTGGCTATTGTTGTACCTTTCCCTCTGCTGGTGGCACGATTTCAGCACTTCCGAGCCAAGACCATAGGTCATGCCTACTGTGCACACATGGCAGTGGTTGAGCTGGTGGTGGGTAACACACGGGCAAACAACTTGTATGGACTGGCACTTTCACTGGCTGTGTCAGGTGTGGATATTCTGGGCATCACCAGCTCCTATGGGCTCATTGCCCACGCTGTGCTGCGGCTGCCTACCCAGGAGGCCCGTGCCAAGGCCTTTGGTACATGTAGTTCTCACATTTGTGTCATTCTGGCCTTCTATGTGCCTGGTCTCTTCTCCTACCTCACACACCGCTTTGGTCGTCACACTGTACCAAAGCCCATGCACATCTTTCTCTCCAACATCTACTTGCTGCTGCCACCTGCCCTCAACCCCCTCATTTATGGGGCCCGCACCAAGCAGATTAGGGACCGACTCCTGGAAACATTCACATTCAGAAAAAGCCAGTTCTAATGAACAGTGATTACAATGGAGACTAGGAGTGCAGGAGGGGGGACACTCAGAGAGTCTAGGGTCTGGATGTGTGAATTATGTCATCTCACCGACTGCACATGATCATGATAATCACTCAACAGGTATTTGCTGTGAAGCCCCTCCTATGTGCACCACTGGCATCTGTAGACTTTGGCTAGCCATGCATCCTGCTTGGGAGGAGGCAGGAGGCAGGGGGCTACACATTACCATGCAGGGAAAATAAGAAAGATCAGGAAACTAGTATGGGATCCCAATAAACAAGATCTAACTTAAAGAACACTCCTTTTCTGCCCCACCTCCATCATTTCAATCTAAGTCTTCCCATGTTCCCATACAAAAGCTCCTCTACAGATCCCATACTTGGAGGAAGTGTTTGGCACTGCTAAAGAGTTATACTGCCTCTGCAGGAAAGTGCTTGGGTACTTGTCTGGGATCACAGCCCTCTCTATTCCTGGAGCCAAATTCTGTTTTCAGCCCATTCTCAGGGAAGGAGTTAATGTGCCCAGTGGTCCCAGTTTGGCCAGAACACTGGTTTTTAAGACATTCCCAATTCAGACAGTGCTCTTGGTCTCATGTGTAATCGCTACTTCTGCTTCTCCCCACTCCACCAAAGCCCCAAGAATTAACAGCTGGAATTTCTCTCCCTAAGCCTGCAGCTTCAGGGACCAGGGGTCTAACTGAAAGAAATTTTGATATACCAAAAAATCATTTTAACTACATCACCTGCTTGCCTGAAGTCGAGTCACTGTGGTCTCTTGTCAGTTTGCCCTTTTGTGCACCCTCAACCAAGAACGTAAATTCCTAAAATCCCCAAATAAAATCCTCATCGGCACCCTCATTTGTCGTGGCAAGCATCACTAGAAGCACATGTCAGTGCAATATGATGAAATAATATTTCACACTACTGCAGCTTACAGAGCATAGATATTAAAGGGGAAGTGTCATGGTGTTGCTCAACAGGGGATTCATTTTCAGTTAAGACTCCATTCTGGAAGAAATACTGCAAAGCAAAAAGTCTTTCACGCCAGCATGGAGTTTAGAATGAGTATAATCTCAGACAGAAAGCAGGGAGTCACTGTTATAAGGTCCGAAAAAGCTGCAGGCTGCAGAGGCAGACCCAAGCTCTCCAGAAAAAAACTATCATAACCACAGGTATTGGAGTTAACCAAATAGCCACTGAAGCCAGTAGCAACCCAGCCCACTCGGCACAGATAGCTGGACCAAGCACCATGGGGACACACAGAAGAGAAGCTGCAGAACTGAAAAAGCAGATGATGCCATCTCCAGGGCCACATGGGATTTCACCGGGTCTTCATTAAAAAGGAACTGAAGAGATAGCCCAGAAGCTCTGCTTGATTTTTAGAGGCATCGTCACACTGAATCCAAGTGGATGGGGTGGGGGGGATCTACATCAACCTAAGTATAGGCTCAGTCATTCTCAAGAATAAATGTTCTTCATAAAATTCTGAGTTTAAAAGCCCTCCAAGCAATGATTTTGTGGATAATTGTGACAAAATTCTAATCCTAATGGGTCACAAGTCTTTAAGATGTTCATATCCTTCCCTTAGTGACTCTCCTTTAATAAGTCTATCCTGAAAAAATAATCAAGATGTGAACAAACATGTATGCAGTAAGATATTTATTACAATGTAATAAAGCAATATATTATAAAGAAATGTATTTATGATAATCCTGGGTCACAAAAACATACACACACATTTTTTTCTTTCCCCTCCATTACATGAAAAGTGAAATCATATGCAGCCAATCTTCATAAGCAATGAATTCTGCCCGCACACCCTCACCATAAGAAAACTCTCTTCTAAGGCAACTTCAACCCTCGTTGTGCACAAACCCCCAAGGTAGCTGGTTCCAAAGCTGTATGTTGCCCATTGTAAGAATTTTCTTCCTTTGAGCCAAAAATCCACCCCTTTGGACACCGGCATTTTCTTCCAGATTGAGAATGAATACATACCTACCATGTGATATGTTTAGAAAGCTTTACAGGCACTCTCTCGTTCCTCGTAACAACCTGAGAAGAATTAATTATAAGCCCACAATCCCTTATCTACATTTCCAAAGTAAAAAATCTCTGAAGAAGCAATATCTTTTTCCTAACTTTGGCCCAAAATCTGACCTCAACATCATGACCCTATTTATAGTCTTTATTTAGCTCATTTAGCGTGAATATTCATACATTTAACTGTGGAGATGTTGATGTGTTTGATTACAGGGTGCTGTCCTGAATTCCAGGGGGGTACTCCTTAACATATGATATATGTACTATATTCCCTTTCTATAATAGGAAAAATTCTAAATTCCAAAACATATCTGTCCGAAAAAGTTTCAAATAAGGTGTTAGGGACTTGCACAGTTATCCCTGAAGCCTGAGAGAAGAGAATAGACTTGTTAGGGCTCTTTACCTTATCATTCTAAAGTCTTTGTTGTCAACACTACTCTACACTGCCCTAGAGGTTCATGCAGAGAACCGCATGTTCTCTGGATAAACAGACCCACCTGCTTGTTGCCCTCATGCTCTCCACTCAGGTCATTCTCAGATATCCCACAGATGATATGTGCCTCTTTCCCAGGGAGACCCAAGACAGTGCAACAGTGGAGGCAAACCCCATGAGCAGGATATGGCCCAAACAGCCCAGCCCTGGAGCTCACCAGGTTCATCCAGGACTCAGCTGTCATCTGTTTTCCTTTAGTAACTTTCAGTCTAAAATTCTATGAGCCAAAAGGAAAGACAGACTAACTTAATGTCAGAGTGGAGCAATATAGAATTTAGGGAGCCTAGGGAATCACAGTACTCAATCAGCAAGAGAAAAGACAGAAGGTATGGGCTTCTGGCTGAATTCATCAGTACCCAATTTTCCCTCTGAGCTCCTCTCCATGAACAAAAATCCTAAAGAGATCCTGCTCATCCTATTTCACCAACAGCCCACCACCCCTATGCCTACCTCAACCACCCCCTTCTCATTCTGGAATCCCGTCAGGATTTGAATGTGCATCACTCTCTGTCTCTGTTTATCAGTCACTCTCATTGTCTGTGTACCTCTGCATCTCTCTCTGCACTGTCACTTTTACCCCATGTCTATGTCTCTTGCCCTTGTGTATATCTCTCTCTTGCACTGCCTCTACCTCACTCAGAGATCCTTCCTATAGAGAACAGAGGTGCCAACTATACTACACCAGGTGACTTCTTGTCAACCATAATAAAAAATGTAATAAAATGACATAAGGAAGAAGGAATACGGTTTCACTTGTCGTAATGAGAAATTTGGGGTTTCTGATCTGGTCCACTGTGGCTCCTCTCATCCTGCCCATTTCCTTTTCACTAGGCCACTTTGTACTTTCCATCTAGCAAGCAGCCCTCCCACAACACACTAGAGCGAACAGAAGGAACATGTTGGTCTCTCCCTTCACCAAAAATAACTACTGTTTAATGGCTAAGGCTGGAATCAGATGGACTTTGACTTGAATCCCAGATCCTCTATTAACTCATTGTCTGTCTTGGGCTAATTATTTAACTTCCCTGAACCCATTTTTTATTTGTAAAATGGCATAAAAACAGTACCTTACTTTGAGAAGTTACTAAAGGGTTTAACTAAGATAATGCACTCAGTGTTTGGCACAGCCCCTAGCACAGAAGAGCTCAACACATATTTGATATTAATTCCTCTCCTGGAAAACAGGATTACACCCACTGTCAAACCATTGCTCAAAGTCCAGGCACCCACACCCTTAGTTCTAAGGACACCTGCCCTCCCCTGAGGCCAGTTACATATCTCCTTTAAGAAACTTTTCTTGACAACACTCTCTCACCACTGTAGGACCCTTTCCTTTGTCCCCACACTCATACCACCTCAGCCAGCTCAGATGATAACCAACATTGTGAGATAGCTCTACACAATGGGCTGGGCCAGAGGAGGATACCCCCTACACACAAAGGTCTTCCTGGACACAAAGGAGAATCTCCAGAGAGACTCAGAGAGGGGACTCCTTAGACAGGCGGGGAGTGGGAAAATAGCTACTGAAAAGACTCTCTAAAGTGGTTCTTCAAAGAACACAAGGGGAGATAATCCATACATAAGAGCTGGAGTGAGAGAGTAGCTACTAGACACAAATCGGCATTGGACAGGGTATAGAGCATGAAGAAAATTTCCTCAAATCTACCTGGGTAATTCTGGCTTCCTGAAAATTCTCTCCAGTTACTAAGGCAACATTATCCCAATTAGATTCTTACCCTCTACATTGTCACTGCTCAGTCATGGCACCTTCCTACACACAAACCTAGTTTTCATTGCAATTGTAACCCACCTATTAATAATGGGTTTCAACCTAGACTGCACATTAAAATTGCCTGAGGAGCTCATAGAAATTGTGATGCCCAGGCACACTCCAGACCAATTAAATCAGAACCTCTGGAGATAGGATATAGGCATCAGTAATCTTTAAAGCTCCCAGGTAATGCCAAAGTGAAGCCAAGGTTGCGAACCACTGCTTAGTTCTCAGCATAAGCCCTGATCTATACTTCTCCCATGTCCTTCAGGACCCAGGTTCAACCTCACAAAGAAGTTACCTGCAGCTAATAAGACAGCAAATTATTTCAGAGAGGCAGCTGAAGGGAGGAGAGTCCTAATCCTGTTTCCTCAAAGAACTCACACCAAGAACTACACACACACACACACACACTCACACACACTCACACTCACAAATGCACTCTAACAGATACCTGCATTTTCCTTCCCTAAACCAGAAGGATGGATAGGTGACTCAAGAGTATAAACTACAGGCTGTGGTGAGGCTAAGAAAGTTACTGTCCTCTCCCAACCCAAGGCTCCATCACCTAAAAGGACCTCTATGACCTCATGCTGCAGTAGGTCAGAATCCAAGGCCTGGGCACTTACCTCCCTGGGCAGCTTGGGGTTCCTGCAGCAGCCACTGCCCTGCCCAATCCTTCCCGCACCCCACCATGTTGGCTGGTACCCCCCACCTGCTGACACTGGATGAAGCTGATGCCACCTGGACCCTCATCAAGGATAA